ATTTAAATTAGAAACAAGCTTGCTTCACATGTCAATCCCAGCTCCCTCTCCCTCCCCTCCTCCCTTGCCCCCAACCAACCACCCCAATCCCCCAGTCCTTCCCCCCTCTGCTCCCCAGGGAGGGTGAGGCCTTCCATGAGGGAATCTCCAAAATCTGTCATATCATCTGCAGCAGGGCTTAGGCCCCTCCCCAATGTGTCCAGGCTGAGGGAGCAACCCTCCATGTGGAATAGGCTCCCAAAGTCCATTCATATGCCAGTGATAAATACTGATATAGTACCCGAGGCCCCATAGATTGCTGAGGTCTTCTCCAAAGTGAAAAATCTTAGAGGAAACATTTGCAAGAAGAAAAGGGCTACATTATGCTGTTAACAAACTTCAGCACCAAGGACGGCGAGTGGTGGCAATGTCAGCTGGGTAACATACTAAGTCTCACTACATGCCCACACTCACCCAAACTGAACAAATAAACTTCATTTTGAAATTAAAGAAATGTATCCAAAACCAGAATCTAAAATTTATACGCAATATGCATTACTTTACTTGATGTCAGGTCTTTGTGTGTGTGTGTGTGTGTGTGTGTGTGTGTGTATGTACACACACATATATATATTTATATATATATATGTGTGTATTGTATCTCCATATATGTATATATGTACACGTGTGTATGTATACCAAAGTCATTGTGCATTCCATAAAAGTGAAAAGACATGCATTTGTTAAGTTTGATGACAATTATTGACTGCTATACATTATAATCCTTTAACCTATACATTATAATCCCTTGACCAAAGTAAATTAACATTGTGTTCTAATAGCTTGATAGTCACGCCATTGATAAGGGTATGACAAATGACCAAACTGCAAATAAAATTCTGGACAGCTTAAGTCAATGACAATCCCTTGGTGATGTATACTCACAGTCTGGAGAATGGAGGACACAAAGCATGGAGGCCTACAGCAGGGTTGTTCTGAAGAAAGAATCAAGGCCTTTGGGAGACTGGCTTTTTAGTCACAAGGGGATATAGAAAATATTGGGTTTCATGGAAGAATATGATGAGCTTGAATATGCTTGAGAAGAGTGAGGAAGCCTGGTAAGTGCTCCTGGCCCACCTGGCAAGAAATTTGCCAGGTTGAAGGTGTTTTCCTCTGAGAGGTACGGCAGAGTGGAATGTGTATATTAGGAGCAAGAGAGCCTATACTTATTTTTGAGTTCATACATGGTAAAAATTTATCAAGGCAGAACATAGACCGAGAGGCATTATGATGCACATTCTCAGACAGCTGTGATTTATGAAATCTCATTCATCTTGAATACAAAGAGAAGACCAAGCAATCGACTCCTTCCCCAAGGACTTGATGATGCTAATGTTTTGCAAATTAAAATCTTCCTCCAAAACTTTTAATTTCAGCAACTAGAATTAAACTTCTAAACACTATAGACTACTGTGAAAGAAGAAAAAACACAATCCTGTCTGTCTACATCATCAGAGCCTGGCCCTGAGCTTTGTGCTTCTGTGTGATTTCTCCACACAGATCTCCATGAAAAAAAATGAAGGAGGCAGTACTGGGAACTGAAATGCTCCATATTTATGAACAGGCAAGCTGTGTGCTGGGTCTATCTTAGCATTATTTCCTGCCTCAGGAACTTCAGAAAAATGCAACACCTTAAGGTCCTATAATCACACTGTTTTCTGGAGTTGCCTTCAACTCCTAAAGATCTCCCCCAAGTAATTTTAATTATTTACTTATTTCATTTCTATAGTCACTAATACAATATCTAGGTTTCAATTAGATCTAAGGATTATTTTGAATATTAAGATAATAAGTAAATAAAGAGCAAAAGCTTGACCCAGCATCAGAGATCTAAGTTTGAAGACATCTCAGACAGTTTCAATCTAGGTAAGAGTTAGGGAAGCTTCTCATCACCAGTAGCCTAAAGCCTTGTTTCTTTTGATGGGAGAATTATATATAAAAGTAGATAGAACTTATCTGACTGCTGTACTTTTCCATGCATCCACATCCACTCATCCATCCATCCATCCATCCATCCACTCAACCACCCATCCATTCACCCACTCATCCACCCGTCTATCCACACACAGCATATAAAATAATGAAGATCTCCATACCAACAATGAATCAATGGAATATCAAAAATAGCTGTGAAAGCACAGAAGATAGAATCTTGACAGATAGACAGACATCTTCCAGATGTAATACAGCAGTCCCTGTGTCATATTAAACATAACATATCAGACTGTCAGCCTCAGCTTTATGATGTAACTCATGCTTATATAATTTGCTTAAATAATTTAGGTGAGAGTTCTATATTAATTCAATATCTAGGTTTTTTCTCTCTGTCACTCACACACATATACACACACATATGCACACACACATACACTGTCCCTCTGTGCATCTGTCTCTCATTCTTCCTCTTGAACTTTGGAATTTTATTTTGTAGCTGTGAATTTTAAATCAGGACACATTCTATAAATACCCAAACCCTATAGTATATATATTAGGAATCTTGTAAGATATTGCAACACTTTTCTATTTAATAAAATCAGAGCTATTTTTTATGTAGCCAATATGTTAATACATTTTAATGCATTACCTGAAGTGTAAGAGGGGAAGGAAGGTGTGTGTGTGTGTGTGTGTGTGTGTGTGTGTGTGTGTGTGTGTGTGTGTGTGTGTGTAGGGACCTATTGGGTTTGTCTTAGCTAACTTTGAACTTGTCCAGTTTTCTCTGTGCATACGGGGAGAGAACTTGCAGCTTTCCTCAGGGCTGAGTGTCAGTGCACGTTATTAATATTTATTGCTCCTTCCCAGTAAGTCTGAAATCTTCTCTTGCCTGCTAAGAAAATCAATGGAAGCTCCAGATAGCCCACACTACCCTTTAAGGAACGTTCTCTCTCTTATCTCATTTCATCTGTCCCTAACTTACTTCAGGCTACTGAAACAGTAATGTACACTCCAGAAAGCAAAAGAAAGACACCTCTAACATGTCCACCAGTACCAAAGTTTATTTTCAACTGACGTCCAAAATTGTATGCATCTCCTAACCCCTACCTCCCACGCCTCCATTTTGTTGGGGTTTTCCTGGGGACTGTGATCGTTGAACACTTTCCCTTACTCTGTCTTTTTTTTCCTCATTCCAGGCAGGGGACCCTGAAAGCTACCCGAATCTGCAGACTACCTGCAGAGTGTCTCTTCTTCTAATCCTGCTAGTAACACAATGGAAAACCACAGGGACGAGAAGGGCAGGAACATACGTATGCAGCAGGGCAAGAACTCCTGCTCTGAGTCACTCCCTTCCTCCTTTTGTCTGTTTGGTAAAATTGGGGCAAGAATGTAAAGATGGACAGTGTAGAAACTGAAACACAGCAGACTTGCCTCTTGGCAATAATCGTATGTCAATAGCTCTTCAGGTAGGAATTCCTCCACGCTGGGATTTTGTCTGGGTTGAGCTTGCCTTGGTCTTGCTATCACACTTGCTGAGAGTTCGTACGTGTATCTGTTCTATTGTGTCTAGAAACCATTATTTCCTTGAAGACTTATACCATCTTTTGTCTCCTGCAATCTGTCTTCCTCTTCTTCCACATAAATGTCCCTGAACCTTGAGGGTAGGGATGTAATATAGACATCCCATTCAGGCCTAAGCACTCCATAATCTCTGACTCTCTATGTCAATGCCCATCTACTGCTAAGGAGTAGCTTCTCTAATGAGGACTGGGCTCTGTACTCATTTATGGGTATAGTTATTAGTCATCAGGAGTTGTTTTAATGCTATCCTTGGGGGATGTTGTAAGGAAATAGGGACAAAGGTAGAGGGATTACTATCTGCTAGTTTGTGGTAGGTGTGATCATCGCAGCCTTGACTGGTGGATTACTGGGATTTAACTAGAGTGACCCATCCATATCCTGCAGCGTTCACAGCAGAGACAGTGCATCATTACCTCTCCTTTCAGCACGTTGCTTTATAAATTAAGCAGGCAATTTCAAAAACACGATACAGAAACTCTTGTTTCCTTAACTAGAAAACAGAAAATAGTTTTTATGTGACACTTCATGTATTATTGTGTTATATGCGATACTCTTCCTCTATTATTTTGCTACTGTTTGTAGTAAGGCTAGAACCAGCCTTTCTGTCTATATGAAAAGCAAGAGAAGATCATTTTGTTCCAAGTTATGTCTTAAAATATCTCCACAATGTCATATTATTAGAAGAATTACTAATGCATTGATAGGATTATGAAATACAAAATAAAATAAGCTTTATTTTCAACTTAAAAAATATCACAATGTCTACTTAGATCAGATCATTAGCTCTTATTCATAACACGGTGAGATCTGATAATCTCAGATCAGAGAAATTTACTACTGGAGCACAGCATTGTGACATCAGCTATGATACAAGCTTTATTACTTATACTAATCCAGACATAAATACTGCACAAGTTTAAGATGGCAGGTTAATATTAAAAGGCTTCTTGTGCTGGTTATTTTTTGTCAACTTGACACAAACTAGGATATCTGGGAAGAGGGTACCTCAACTGAGAAAATGCTTCCCTCAGATTGGCCTGTAGGTATATTCATAGGACATGTTCTGTGTTGATGCTGGAAGGTCCAGCTCACCGTGGATGGTGCCACAGTGAGCCTTGGGAGGTATAGCAAGAAAGCAAGTTGAGCCAGCCATAGGGAGCAAGCCTATAAGCAACACTTCTTCAGGCCTTCTGCTTCAGCTCCTGCTTCCCGTTTTCTACCTTGGATTGCTTTAGTGATAGATGCTGCCTCGGCTTGCTTTAGTGATAGAAGTGTAAGAAGAAATAAACCCTCTCCTCCCCAAGTTGCTAGATTATGATGTTTATCACAGCAATAACAGGTTTCAAGGCACATCCCTAAACTTATTCCCATGTGTTTTTATCACAGGAATCATTTCATATATGTAATCAATTTCAAAATTCCAAGAAAGACTCACTAATTCAAACAAGTTCCATAAAATGCACATTTTATTTTATATCATGAAAAAATATCCACATTTAAATAAAGTGTGAAAAAAAGCAAAGTTAATCCTCCCTGATGAAATACAGTTTATTGTGCTAAAACCCAGGGTTATTTTGGGTTAGAATTTCCACCTGCCAATTCATTTTTGGAAACAATGATTTCTTTAGAACAAACTTTCAATAAAGTCAAAATTGTGACAAACCTCCCAACTGCATTCAAATTTGACCCTAAAATCTCCAATTTAAGATGTTTTCACATAACTTCTAAGCAGTTGAGCAATAAGTCGATAGTACATACAAAATTTCTATATTACACACTGCAATATCTTGATTTAATTGAAAAACATGATCAGCCTAGTGTGAACCAAATTTTGAAAGCTATAGACAAGTACTGTTTAGCATACTGGTATTAAAAATAACTTCCATGAAGTGTTGACCTATTTCATTAGTCAATGCAAAAATTAAATTTCCTTAGTCAATACAGAAACCAAATATTTCCAATGATTTAACCCTTAGGAAGCATTTTTAATATCCACAAGTATGGTTACAGTGGCAGAAACATTTTTAAGTACTTGAAAAAATAAATTCCTGTAGCAAGTCAGTCAGGAGTTTCCATAATAGGGTACAAAATAGTATCACTGGTGTACACAAAGTCAGTAGAACATAGAGTCAAAAGAAATGTATAATTTTCATTATATCGTAGATATGCATAATTTGATAGTGTCTGAATACCAAGCATTTCCTGAAGTCACTGCCATCTCAATAAACAACAGGAAACAACTGCTAGCTCTAACTGATTTTTTTTTTACCACAACATGTAGTTTTGGGATAGAAATGATTCTAATGTACTGTCTAATGTACCCTAGCCCTTTCACCAGGGAGGGAAGTATCCATTATGATAATGAGAATTGAAGTCAATCTCTTAGGTGAAACATGAGTTTTCCCTCCCTCTAACGGTGATGAGCTTTGACATGGAAGGAAGCTGCTGAAGAGAGGAAGTCAGTGGATCCACTATAAAAACTGAATCATCTTAACATCATAATGTCACTGATGGAGATGATCAGACTCACAGCAGAAGGCATTCCCCCAGAGGGTCAAAAAGCAGTCCCTGCCTCTAAGCTTTCTGAAATGACATATGTTAAATAACTGACTTTTAAATAAAGGACATTGAGATTTTATTTAATAATCCACTCTTATGAGATATATTAGACCAATATTAAAGACTCAGTTCAGTCAAACTTCAACACAAAGCTAAAAAAGGGAGTCATTATTCTAATTTGCATAGTTTGCTGACTAGTTTGTCTTCCTACTTGATCAACTCAGCTATGATCAGGAATATTTTCATAACATTTTGGTTGGAAGAGCCTAGAACCAACTCTTTTGACACTGTTCAATTGCCTTCACTTAGTGAAGTACCTCACCATGGGAGTAGGTGGCTCAATTTCACATCATCAAAGACAATTTAGTTGAGAATAAGGATACAATACTTGATAATGTCATTTTCATCAGTTATTAAGTGTAAAAATTCAGTCTGATTTATTCAGACATTGAGTAAGATTTTTTTGACCTTGTCTGTGCTAATTCTTCATTAGCCGGTGATTCTGCATAAATGCATCCTCTGGAAATCATCTGATCAAGGTGCAAACCAACTACCCAGGTACTTTAGGGACTTGGACTTCTGGGTTGAAGCCAAAATCATAAACTTGGAATTAGGTAGAAAAGAATCCTCTCATGTTAAAAGTCCCAAATAACCGACAAGTTTTAAAACTAGCACATAATGTGTCATTAAAATCAAAACCATGATTGTAACAATGTGATTTCAAAATTAACCAAGCAAAAACGATTTATAAAGATACCACATGAGAAGGAATCATTGAAGAGGCAACTGTATTCTTCCTAATACCCTGTAGCATTTTGGCAGTGTTCTTTAACCAAATGCCACAATTAGCACAGGTTAACAGTGAACATTTAGCACCTCATTTACATGAAAATGCCAAAGACGAAAGTGACCTAACTGTGAGAAGCTTCAGATAGACTCCCAGGGTTCCTCCCAGTTAGGCATAAAGCTAGTCATAGTCCCCTCTACCTCCTGCCATCCACAAGGTAATTTGGATTGAGACTCCTGGACAGTGAGGTGGTGATGTCTTCTCTGTGTTTTGCTTTCTCAGGACACTACCTTCAAACATTTCAAAAGCTAGAAAAAATCAGTCACATTTTAGATGTTAACTCCTTTCATTAGAGAAAATTAATTTTAAAGCAAATATATATATTAATTTGCTTTAAAATTTTATATATATATTGGCTTTAAAAGTTAATACACACATACACACACACACAAGAGCATAAAATTTGAGAATGAGAACACAAGACTCCATTCTAAGCAGAAATAGGTCATTTGGAAGATGCATTTAATAGTGGTTTGGCAAGAAAAATCACCAATATAATCAATTAAAAGGCTTGAAAACCCTATTTAAAACCCAAAGAGTCCAGAAAATATTTTTAAATAAAGAAAATCTTGAACACTTATTGCTTTCTTTAGCATATATACACTTTCTTAGGTGAAAATTCATCTTGGATAGCCTACATGAAATATTCACACTTGTGATGTGCTACATTTGTCTCTTACTTATAACTACATTTCCCAGTTTATCCCACTGTTGCCTGTCAGCTGTTGGGAGAAGTGGAGGGGAATTCAGTTTTTAAATCATGGCAGATTTTACTCCCAACAATTATCAGCATCTGCCATTTACTCTGGCGACTAGGAATGTCAAGCATTTACATTTCAGGATATAGTTTTTAAATTATTTTTATTGGGAGAATCTTTGACTGTACATGTCCTGGGAAATGCAGGAAGACATTTTTCTAAGGTCCAATTGCCTGTATTAGAATAACACCTTTACTGATTTATTGGTTATTAATTGGCTACTGCAATCCTACTTAATCTTCTCCTTCAGAGGAGTGTTGCAGAATTAAATGTGATTATTTGGATACATTGATTAGTACAGTGAATACTCAATATATATGGGCCTAATTGACACTCACTTACTCCTATATCTAAAGGGAAAGAAGCACAGGGATTTGATTTATCTCAGCTAGCCTGCATGCCTCTGCTTTACTGTCCAAGCCCTCAGTGGTTCTGACCCTCACAATGCATTCAAATAGCCTTGTATTAAGAAGCAAGAGACAGAAAATCTTAAGTTAGAAAGTGTACAAGTACTCTTAGGATATATGACACATGGGTGGTACTTTAAAAATTCTGATTCCTGAGCCAACCACATGTTCTACTCCCATGGAATAACCTATTCTCTCTTCATCCAGATTCACAAACATGCCAAACTTCAGTATTCAATCAATTTTAGTAGTCTAAAGACTAAAGATAAACATGGAAATGCTCTCTCTCACAGTCTCTCTCTCTCTCTCTCTCTCTCTCTCTCTCTCTCTCTCTCTCTCTCTCTCTCTGTGTGTGTGTGTGTGTGTGTGTGTGTATGTGTCTTCCTGAGTGTTTTTGAAGTACAAAAGATAAAATGATAGTGTGGGAGAATTCCATCCTGTTTCAAGACCTTTGGTCATGTCCCTTCTCAGATGACTAAGAAGCATCTATTGAGCATAAAATATTTTGAAACATAAAGCTATTAATCATAATTTACAAGGGTACTGCTTAACACATTAATGTTTTGAAAATAATTAAGTATCACTATTCAACCAATTAATTTGCTGTTTAAAGTATTTAAAACTTGGAGAAACCATTTTGTCTTAATTTTTAAAAGTTAATTGACTTAACATCTGAGTGTCTCATTCTAGATCTAAATGAGAAAATTTGAGTCCAGTCCAGGAGATAAAAAAATAAACCTATGAATGTAGGGAAACTTAATTTGTTTTAGCACAGAAAAAAAAGAATAGTGACTAACAAAAAAGGACTACAACACCTAGTTAATACTGAACTATGGGTGATAATTTTTTCAAAATAAGTAAAATTTGAGAATACTTTACTGAAGATCTAAACTTTAGAATAGAGAGATGCAGAAATCAAGGACATGAAGCCCATCAAAGAAGGGGAACTCTGGAATTTCCTTGCCAAAACTGCATTTTCCACAATTTACTTATGGGGACTTAAATCAGCTCATGGGTCAGTTCTTTGCTTGGGAAAAATAATAGTAAAGAAGAATCTACTCTGCACAAAGGTATCTGAATTTATTTCTTATTCAGTTCCTACAGTTGAGCTAAGTTTAGTAATTGAGATTATCTAAATGTTTAAAAAGTCTTTAAGATTTGTGATGCATGTACATTGTCCTCTTATCTTTCAAGGGGGGTGTGCCAGTCAGGAATATAGATTATAACTATAGAAAAGGGGTATTAATGTTTTTCTTCTGCTTCACTAGTCCTGCTATTGCTCTCTGTGAACTTGTTGGGTTTTTTGGTGGTGTTTTCCTTTTTTTTCTTTTGTAATTAGTAGCAAACCTAGACATAACAAACCTACTTATTGAGAGGACTGCATGTAGGTTTACAGAAAAATAAAAGGAAAAGTAAACCAAACCTTGCACAATAGCAAAGCAACAATTTTTTAATGTGTATATACTCACTGGAATTGACTAGAATGTACCCATCAGCAATGCCAAAGACCATGATAAAAATGTACAGACACCTAAATCACAGCCTCCACTGTGCATCACTTTTTGTTCCCAAACATGGATATGTAAATCCCAATCTGGACTCCCACACATGCACACATCCTAGCATTAGTAACTTATTTAGCACTTTGGTCCACATTTTTGTTCTGATTGTGTGACTCTGATAAATATTAGCTCTTGCTTTGTTTTCCTGGTCCAGGATAAGGTGATATTCTATAATGTTAAAGCAATCGTTAACAACTCTAAAATGGAATAGTTGTCATTTTGCAATCATAATGGTTTTCTTATGTAAGCTGCTAAAGCATCCAGGCTGCACACCTGAGTTTCTACTCAGCGCAAACTGATTGAAAATATTTATCTGTATGTAAAGCACATGTTAATTGTAATGCCACAGGCCTAATACAGTGGACCAAAGCATAACTATTACTAATCCTTAGCAAATAAATAGAGAATTACACTAGATAGTAAAGAGTCAGGGCCAATGACTGACCATCCCTTAACCCCCTTTGACTCTAAGTCTTAATTTTTAAAGATATTTAAAGCTAATAATTTTTTGATGCTTGTAACTATGTGTATTTGAAATATTCTCAGTAAACTCATAGTTGGAAACACATTTTTAAATTGCAGTTAGGTGAGAATCCTAGCAAAATTCAGTGAGAGATTTAAACATAAATGTTCTTCTGTTGAAGAAAAAAGTTCCCTTTGTGGTTAGTGCTCTTGTTATTGTCTTACCCTGAACCAGCACAGCAAATACAACAATTTTATGTGGAGCCCTGAGGACAGAGGCTTCTTTGCAGAATTAGAAAACACTAACAAAATGAGCCTTTGGATCAAAACTCAAATGTTTAGGTATTGTACACTGCTTTTTTGAATTCTAACAATAACAATCCCATCAATTTCTCAATTAAAACACTGTCACTAAGAACACTATGAGCATGTTTTAGTGCCTTTCAAAGGGTTTATGTGGTTTTCCCATGAAAGAAAAGCCTGATAGAACATGGAAGTAGTTAAGGCCTTTGTTTTGGTACTCATTATTTGGAAAACTGAGATAGAAACACAACACACTAATGACAGCTGACTACCTAAATTTTGTTAGATTGACAGAGCTGGAAACAGAATCCTACATGGCACCAAATGATGTGTGAAATCTAAACATACTTTCTTCTTCCCCTTCCCAACAGAATTCCAGGAGTAATAGTCACATCCAAGAGAGATACCAAAGCACAGCACTCACCTAAGAAAGTACTCATTTTTGATGTGTCTGTGTGTGGTAGCTCTAGATAAATTGTGTCATCCTCAGATCTCATCCTCAGACTCAGAAGATGACTTTAAAAAGAGAAACGATTCGGGGTAACAAAATTCAGCAATAACTAAGTTAGTGAGAAGAGAGGCCATGCATTTTAAGGAGAGAAGGCATGGAGGGTACATGGAAGGGTTTGGAGAGAAGAAAGAGAAGGGGAAATACTGTAATTAAATTATAATCTCAAAAAATTTTAAAGGAAAATTTTACAATTTTAGTCACTTCCTTGCAGACTAACTTATAAAACAAAACAACAAAATAAACAAACAAAAAGTTGACAGATTTTTCCAAAAGAATCCCACGGTTTCTGGAACTTCACAGTTAAGCAATATCTCCTTAAATTCAATGTGACTTGTATTTGGATTCCAATTTGGTTACTTTTCAAAATTTCACTTTAGTCTGCTGTTATACTTAACATTTCTATTAAAGTAATGGGTACCACTGACTAGGTCTTTGTTCTAGGAACCATTTAAAGCCTTACATTCTCATGTCCTCTGTAATCTGACCTATAAAAAGTTATAGGGAATTTTCTTAACATTCAGGATGTTGTGTAGCCTTGTACACAATATGAGATGCAGCCAGGGTTTTAGTAAAATGTTTCCTTTAAAGAATGAAGTTTGGGTGTGAATTTGACCATTACTCCTGAACTATTTTAAAGTCACTCATGTAAATGGGGGACACTGAGAGCTTTGATGTTGTTTTCTACGTTTAGGGTTTCTGTTTGCCCTTTATTGCAAGCTCTTGCCTACCAAATCAAATTTAGTGCAACATTATCCTGATACAGGTCAGCAAACCTTCCTGATCTGGTGTAAAGATTATAATTCTGCTTGCATTCAACTTTTGCAATTATGTCACAATCACCTGCCCAGAATAGTGTCTCATCTTTACATATTCATAGTATCATAAGAATTAAAGATATATAGGTTGCTTTGCAAAATGTTTGCATTTCAAATACATATCCACTTAGTCCTATTAGTACATTGTCCCGAAGTATAATAATAAAAAAATTTCTGGATGCACCAAGAATACCTATACAGTGTAGGAATAAAACATGCAGTCATCTGGTCCTGCAATGAACCTGCACCGTCTGTGTGCTGGTTGAAGCTACACAGAATGTGATTGTATCATTATCACATGTGTGCAAAGAAGCATTCACCCTTTGTTAAAGTCTGACTAAATTCTACTATGAAGAATTTTAAAATCTGGAAACGTAAAACTATATACAATGTTTGCTGAATATGTGCAGGGTATATTCAGCACCACATCGTGTCATGCACACAGAGGACAGGGGTCTGGAAAAGAATACTGTGGGAACTGCACCAAACAAATAAGGAATTGATACTTTCCCTTCCTATCGATGGCCTGGCGCAGTTCAAAACAATTATGCTTCTTTTCCACCTATGGGACCATGTGTTTAGATAGAAATCTCATTATGGCTAATGTTGTTGGTTGTTAGCTAAAACTGTCTGAGTCGATGTCAGATCCTGGCAAAGGTTTGGAAGCCTAATATGAAAAGGCATGCATTACACTTCAAAACAGTTTCTTGCATAAGTGACCCTCTTACTGCTTGAGACCAGCTGTTAGTTTTGAATGTAGCTAAAGTCAGAACAATGATTTCCATGCTCTTGTTTTTTTGATCACCCATTCATCTTTAAAGGTATTTGTCACACTTGACTTAAACAAATAAGAAAACACTCTGAAACCCAATAATTCTTAGAAGTCAAGGATAAGGTATCTTCCACAGTATGAAAGTTAAAACAAACAGGCCCCTCCAAACCTGAATTTTAAGGCTGATTCTATCATTTCATTTACTTTTGCCTGTGGTAGGTATGTATCTTAGCAGAACATAGAGATATACAGCCATGGAAATGTCTATTTTGAGTAATGGAAAGGAAAGCAATAGTAACCCACTGTAGCTAATATACACTCCAAGAGTCCTAGAACAAAGGGGCATACCTTAGGAACATGGGAAGAACTTTAAAAAGGATTACTTCTTTACACTTCTGTAGTATGACTGTGAAAGCTCTTCTTTCTATGATTTTAGAGATACTGGGAAATAGAAAACACATAAAATTGGATATAAAAGAGCAAATTATTTCCTTGATTTTGTCACCATCTTTTATATATTCACCTGCATATAAAGGCATATATAATGCATGTATATTGTAGCCTAGCAATACACAAGTGATTGGCATACATTTTCTGGTTAATGCAAACACTAGCTTCCTGACTCTTGATACTAAATTTTATGCCTGCACCAACTGAAAAGCACACTCCCAGGAAGAACTCCAGAAAACACCCTGGAGTCGTAAGAAACAGCTTCCATGAGTTCTCAAGAGTGGTATGCATTTCATTTTTGAGTAGTTATCATCTGAGGGCCTAAATATAAACAGTGCAACATTTGTGACTTCTCTTTTGGTTGACAATAGGCACTTTTTCAGAAGAGGAATTGTTACCCAAAAGACTGCAATATTCAGCCCCATAAGTCTTTTGAGTGGATCTAACTGAGTCATAATGGTCTATTGCATCAACCCAACAGAATGCCAGCAATGCAGCTGTGTGCCAAAACTTAGGGAAATTTGTACCCATAATAAAGTCACAGAAAAGCAGTTATCTGAATAAAGCAACTTAATGTTGTCTTCTGGGTTGGTTATTTTATAAGTTAACCACAACTTTTGTGTTACTTCTTCAAGCAATAAAAATCACATGTCAGTATTTCTGTACCTATATTTCATTCTTTTAAAGCCACAGATGTGCAATTAAAACATGTCCAATTGCTTATGTTCTTTTTAAAAAATTGTATCATTAACAGTTAAAATTTTGATATGTTTCTTTGCTAAGAGCCTTTCAACATCTCCCTTTGAACAATCTATGGAGATTTAAATGTAGAATATTCATTGCCTTTGGACAATCAGCATATCTAACATATTGTTAAAAGGCTCTTATACCCTGTGGTGCAATGTTTCTATAATAATATACACTATATTAACAATTGAGTATTTATGGTGTTGATAATGTTAGCTCCCAAAATGATAGTTGTTCTCCAAGACGGAGGGAGCAGGGAATTCTTTACATAAGAGCTAATGATTACTATCTAATACAATGCTAAAAAGGAGAGGTATCATTGAGTGGAAATGCAATTCATGCACAAAACCCATAGCAAAAAGTTCTTGGTATCCGACACTGGCATCAGATGTAGGCAACAACACAGTCATTTCAATGGAGCAAACATTGCCTGTAGGGAAAAAGAACCTAACACTAAGTTACAGAAAAATACCCTATGGCATGAGATCATAAAATGGTCTGACGACTTCAGAAGCTGAACTCTCCCTTGACATTAATCTATAATTTTAACTAAACAGAATAGTGAAGAAATGACAGCTCGATATACTCAGCCTGAGATCAAGTTTGTCATGGCAACATTGGCAGGTTGGACCCTGATTCTTCAAAGGTTACATTGCCTTAGTTAACAAAATTCATACTTTTTTATTACAGAATAGAGATTATAAACAAATGTAAAGTGTGCATGCAGTCAACTGCATAATATACAAGCATTATCTATGTTTTGAATAATCATCTTTGGCAGGCCAGAATCCAGCTGGACATGCAGTATGTACATATCAAAATCCATATAGTGTTCATCATATTGAAAGCAAGTGAAAATATATATATGTATATACTATATATATATACATATGTATATAGATGTATATACCATTTTAAATATATTGACAAATATATATATATATGTATATATTAAAAGTTGATTTCATCTTTGTCAGATTCAGGTGACTCGGGCCTTGAGACACTAAAAATATCCTGACATGGTATCTGGGGAGGTACTTGGAGTGGCATTTGGGGTTTTGGAGAGGAGGTCTGGGGTATACTTTTCTCTGAGAGTAGTTTTAAAATTTCTGCCACCTGCTTTTCCAGGGCAGTCATTCTGCAACTCAGCAGCTGGATGTCCTCCTTGAGTTCGTGTTTCACTTCCTGCAGTGTGGTTTGTAAGGCCTGCTCAGGGATGGGGTAAAAAGGGTGCTTGGCATCAGCCTGGATTGGACTGTGTTCTAGAGGACTCCGGGCCTCACCGGCTTTATCCAAACGAAGGTCACTTTTTGTAATCCCACTGTCACAAGAATCTGTTTTCCTTAATGGGTTCTTGGTCACACTGTTCTCTGAGTCACTGCCTTTGGGGTCCTCTGACAACAGCCCCATCGACTCAGCTTTGGTGACATTGTTCCAGTCTTCCTTTTTCTCCTCGTGAGGCCCCATGTTGTTCTTCAATCTCAGCCACCCTTTCCCATTTCCATTTTTCATTCTAATGGGGCTGTTGACTTTGAGACATTTCTGCTCAGCGCCACCATTGGGCTTCAGTTCCATGGCATCACGGTTGTTCTGCTTAAGGGACTCACTGGTTTTCACATAGGCCAGAGATGTCTGTATAGGGGTAATCTGCGACACGGTGACCACACTGGTACCTGTGATGGAGGCTCCGTTCTGCAGAGGACGGCTCTCTACCTGAAGCTGGCTCCTCTCAGGGTCGCTCTGCGCTGAGCCCTGGTTCCTCAGTTCCTTCTGCTGCTTGAACTTCTGGAAGAGCTTCCTAACTGGGTGGTCCACAGGGATGCTGAGAGTCACCTCGTTCTTCTGCCGCAGTCGCTCTTCCTCCTCCTTCTTCACGTCACTAATTTTACGGAAGATGATCTGGAGAATGAGAGAGATGATTAAACCGTGGTTACAGAAGCAGATGACTTTACACTCAAGTAATGCTAAGCCGAGTGTGCTTAGCTCTACACAGAAAACATCGGCACACACCACACACAGAAAGCGTCAGCACACCACACACAGAAAACATCTTCACATATCACACACACAAAGCATCTACACAGAAAACATCTGCATGTACCACACAGAGAAAACATCTGGACACACCACACATCCCTTTCCTAAAGGAGAAGTTATTCAGATAGCTCATAACAGTCCAATACACCCAAAATCTAGCACAGGGACAGTAACTACTCTCTTACATAATTAGAGAGGGGGAACCAGCTGACATAGCACTGTAAAAGTACTTCATGGCTCCATTTAAATGGATATACACAGCTATATATGAGTATATGTGCATTTGTATATATACAAATATATATTCCTCAAATTTCCCTGGAGCATATCCAAGTATATTTTCAGTTAGAAGTTAGCTTAGTATTTTTTTTCCTCAGATTCCTGAAAAACAAAGTAACTGCAGTGAAATCTTTGAGGAAAATCAAGAAGAGTTTCATCATGTGAAGTACTTTCAGAATTTAACAGTTTTACAACACAAAATTATTTCTTTCATCATCTCCAATTGTCATCTAGAGGAACAACACATGTGAAGCACATAGTCTCAACCCATAGCAGACCATCATAATATGTTGATTCTCTCCCCTTGGATTCAAAATGCCTCCTACTTGTAAACATTTTTATCACCTTTTACAGGTTCATCAGCTCCCAGGAGTAACATATAGTCAAAGATTCTATGTCAGAAAGAGATATTAATGATGACTGATGCCAAAAGTCAAGGCAGTAGTAATCTTACTTCTATGCCACGCCACATTTTCTAACTAGAGATTGGTGCACTAAGGTCAGTCTATCAAGTGCTAATAACTTGTAGCATAACATAAATAAATACTATAAACACAACAATTACATGGAAAGGCCTCCATATGTTTTCTCTTATGTGGCACACGAAATTGGGTCTTTTAAACAGATGTAACGCTAATCACAAAGCCTGACATTACAGCTACAGCAATTTAATTAGAAATCTTCCCAATATTTGACACACTTCTTATCCTTTCTACAGAAACAGAGCATGCACCAAGCCTTCAGGGAATTAACACCCTTCGGGATCAGAGAGGCACCAACATGGAAAACTAAGATACTATTCTCATCCACTAGTATTGGTCCCATGAGCTGACAGAAGGAGCCTGGTATAGATGACTCTCCATGTCCCCATCTAACTCACCCCAAGTCACTATTTTAAATAGGTAATTACTTAGCCTAGAGCAGCAGATAGAGCCTTAGTGTGATCCTTGATATTAGGGGAAAGGGAACTCATTTCAAATCTCAGTGGAGAAGAGCAAGTCCTTGACACACAGGAAGGTCGGACAACACAGGACAGCCACACAATGTGTGGATCATACTAAACAAGCACATGTTATTAACCACAATAGGGCATATTGAGAAGTGTCTGGATTCACATGGAATTTTATTTTAACATAGAGTCTTATATTTTTTGTAACTCTACTTGGTATCCCTGTTATATTTCCACATGCCTCACAGCTTTAAAAAATCCACAGGCTTGGTATCTCTGGTGATTGAGAATTATGTGCATCTGAACTCAGGAAAATATTTTTTTAAGATTTTCAATATAATAGCGAACAAATCAACACAAGTATTGAGTGCTTACCAAGGTGAGTGATTTAGGATTGCAACATACCTATGAAAAATATCAATTAAAAATTGGAGGAAAGGAGGAAGAGAGGGAAAGAAGGAAGGAAGGAAGGAAATCACAGCATGTCTCCTGTAAAGGTAAAAGGTTCATCATTTACTTCCACTGTAGGCTAGATGCGCATTGATGTGGATCCACATGGCCTCAGGGCTTGTGACTTCAGTCCCTCAAAAACCAGAAACAGAGCCGGGCTGTGGTGGCACACGCCTTTAATCCCAGCACTCGGGAGGCAGAAGCAGGCAGATCTCTGTGAGTTCAAGGCTGGGCTGGACCGACAGCCTCCAAAGCAATACAGAGAAACCCTGTCTTGGAAAAACCACACACACACACAAAACAAACAAACAAACAAACAAACAAACAGACACAGAGGAAGGAAGAGATAAGCACTGTGTAGAATATCTGCTACTAGGGATATTCAAACTCTTAAGTAAGCCACACTAAGCAACACAGAGGGGAAATGAGCAAATAAGCATAGCCAATTCCCTTAGTAGTGACCACAAGCTTTCCATACCTCATACACAAGCCTGAGATACTAAAATAGATAAGGCCATCTGTCCCTTAGCAGCTCAGCCTTGTGCTCAGGGAAAGCAGGCAGGTAAAAGAGGGTTGTAAGATTCCACACACGAAGCATACTTTTTAAACTAAAACCTTCGATACTAGCAAGGTCCTTGCACTTGATCAACTGCTTAACATATCTATGTATTTCAAGCCAGGACATCTTTTTTTTTTAAGTATTTGATTTGATGAAGTTTACTGAATTATAAATAATTTATTATGAAACAAAAATCAATTTAATGTAAAGGTTATAAAAATGTTTACCTATACTGACTGTAACCCCCCTCGTAGCTCATTTCTTTCTTTCTTTGTGTGTGTTTTGCTCCCTCCAGCAGGGAAACCAAGGACCATATCTCTTAGATATTGCTGTACATGTATTTGTTGAATTGCTGGAAGAAAACTGAGCGACTGCTACAGATACAAGCTGACACGGGTCTAGGACAGGTGAGGGAAGACCACAAGCCCCCTTCCCCCGAAAGCAATGTCTTTCAAAAGCGAAGGAAAAATCTGTAGGCCCATTTAAAAAAAAATGTTTACCTATAGCAGCAAAGACCCTCACATGCTTGCATCTCCCATTTAGTTGTCATCTACACTATAAGAGACAGGTCCTATTCGTCTCGTGCAACAGAGAAGCAAATGGGAGCACAGGGAAATTAAATTGTTTGTCTTAGGCCATACAGCTGGCAAGTGTCTAGGATTCAGTCTGGGACTTCAACGTCATGTAATCCTAACCATTCACTCTGTTATCACTCAGGACAATTCAGTGCTTCCTCCTGGACCATGGGGTACTGCTGGATAGTTTCGTGGATGGGGGATAGAGAGATGCAGGCATTTCCACACCCAAAAAGTATCTTTCACAGATGACTGGCTCTGGAAAAGCCCCCGTAGAAGAGTGAAAACTGAAACTCTGCTTGCTGGATCGATGGCAGCCTTGACTAACGGCTGCAGAGATCTTTGTGAGACACTTCTATGAGTCCTCAAGATGAAGACATCCAGACAAACCCTGATTCTCAAAGGCAAAAGCAGTTGTCTTGCTTCAGTCTACCATCCATCAAGAGACATGCTGTCATTGTGTACCTTTTAGTTACCTTCAAGGCTGCCTCGTGTTTTCTCTTCCTTATACACACATCAAATGCATTACCTTTAGGTAAAACATTACATTTATGTAAAAAGATCAAAGAATGTGATTTTCCTTGGACTCTGACACCATCTTTTGTGCCTCTTACAACTAGAGCCGTGTGCTAAGGAAAATGGAATTTTTTTGTGTATATGGTTTGTTCACTGATATATCACTACAACAGAATATCCCTTACAAACACATTCATTTATTTAGATTTGTGTGTGTGTGCGTGCACGCGCATGCGAGCGCCCACGTGCACACATATGAGTGCTTGTGTGAGTACAGGCACCTCCAGAGTCCAGAAGAGGGTGTCAGAGCCATGGAGCTAGAGTTATAGGAGACAGTGAGATATCTCATACGGGTACTAGAAACCCAATTCAGATCCTCAGCAAGAACAGTAAGTGCTCTTAAATGCTGAGCCATCACTCTAGCCACTCAAAAACTAACTCTTATTTTCAACAAGGCTCATATACTTAGAAACTATATTGCAAATAGGACTGAATTACAAATAATGGGTTCTTTCTTGTTATTAGTTTCCACACTCTAGTCACATTATGGCAGCTTGCACAGTGTCCACCCAGCACACCCTGGCATATGATCCACCTGGCCACTCTTTTTTTAAATTTATTTTTTATAGCTGCCATGTGGGTGCTGGGAGTTTCCATACTCTAAACAGTCAATGGCATCGGAGTTTTAAATTTTAAATTTTGTTTTGAGAAATTCATACAAGAGTGCTGTTTTTATCATTTCGATGCTATTCCAACTCCTCTTGTATCCACTCCTGCCTCTCTCAAATTTCTGACCTCTTCTTATTTGTTATTATCACACACATACACACACACACAAGTATATGTATATAATGTATATATCCTACTGAGTCCATTTAGTGTTGTTCATTGCTGTATATGTGTTTAGTACTGACCACTTAGAGTTGGATATCTATCAGGGGACTTGCTCCTGGAGAATACTGAAGCTCCCTCACAGTGGCTATTAATTACATATAGCTCTTCATCTGAGAGTGCAGCCTTGGGAAATTTCAGGTGAGAGTATCTCTTACTTATCAAAGAAACTTGCTTTTGCAACATACAGAAACCAATGTAGCAATGCACACTGTCTAAAATGTAGAGAACAGTCAACCTTGTGGTTCTCAACCACATCTGATAGATCACAACACAACCCCAATCCCAATGCTAAGGAAGGCACAGAAGAAGAGAAGATTTGTTAGAGCCAAGGGACCAAGATGTCCACAGTGAGACACTGTCTTCAGACATGATAGGATAACTGCACCTATGAAGTCTGGGTATTTCATTGTTGATAACTATATCCACTACTATAAAAATCTCCTCAGCTGAAGCTACTACTGAAACATCTTTAATGTGTGGACCACAAAACAGGTAGTTAACAAAGGCATGCTATGTAGTCAGGTCAAAATCAACCCAGAAATCCATTTTTTGAAGGTCCTTTATTCAGAATGGTTACAGGGATATATATTATGAGCTTAATTACTAGCTTATAATGCTCTACTTTCTTCATGAAAGGTAA